AGTTAACTTTACCTCAATGTGCGTTTGTTAACTTTACCTCAATGTGGGTTTTTTGTTAACGTTACCTCTAAGTGAGTTAGTTGTTAACTTTACCTCTGTGAGCGTTAGTTGTTAACTTTACCTCTAATTGCGTTATTTGTTTATGTTACATTTGTGCGTTAGTTAATAACTTTACCTCTATGTGCGTTAGTTGTTAACTTTACCTCTGTGACCTTTAGTTTTTAACTTTACCTCTATGTGCTTTAGTTTTTAACTTTACCTCTAAGTGCTTTAGTTGTTAACTTTACCTCTATGTGCAATAGTTGTTAACTTTACCTCTAAGTGAGTTAGTTGTTAACTTTACCTCTATGTGCGTTAGTTGTTAACTTTACCTCTAAGTGCGTTAGTTGTTAACTTTACCTCTAAGTGCGTTAGTTGTTAACTTTACCTCTATGTGCTTTAGTTGTTAACTTTACCTCTAAGTGCGTTAGTTGTTAACTTTACCTCTATGTGCGTTAGTTGTTAACTTTACCTCTAAGTGCGTTAGTTGTTAACTTTACCTCTATGTGCGTTAGTTGTTAACTTTACCTCTATGTGCGTTAGTTTTTAACTTTACCTCTAAGTGAGTTAGTTGTAAACTTTACCTCTATGTGAGTTAGTTGTTAACTTTACCTCTAAGTGCGTTAGTTGTTAACTTTACCTCTATGTGCGTTAGTTGTTAACTTTACCTCTAAGTGCGTTAGTTTTTAACTTTACCTCAAAGTGCGTTAGTTGTTAACTTTACCTCAAAGTGCGTTAGTTGTTAACTTTACCTCTATGTGCGTTTTTTGTTAACTTTACCTCTATGTGCGTTAGTTGTTAACTTTACCTCTAAGTGCGTTAGTTGTTAACTTTACCTCTATGTGCGTTAGTGGTTAACTTTACCTCTATGTGCGTTAGTTGTTAACTTTACCTCTATGTGAGTTAGTTGTTAACTTTACCTCTAAGTGCGTTAGTTGTTAACTTTACCTCTATGTGCGTTAGTTGTTAACTTTACCTCTATGTGCGTTAGTTGTTAACTTTACCTCTAAGTGAGTTAGTTGTTAAATTTACCTCTATATGAGTTAGTTGTTAACTTTACCTCTAAGTGCGTTAGTTGTTAACTTTACCTCTAAGTGAGTTAGTTGTTAACTTTACCTCTAAGTGAGTTAGTTGTTAACTTTACCTCTAAGTGCGTTAGTTGTTAACTTTACCTCTAAGTGCGTTAGTTGTTAACTTTACCTCTATGTGCTTTAGTTGTTAACTTTACCTCTAAGTGCGTTAGTTGTTAACTTTACCTCTATGTGCGTTAGTTGTTAACTTTACCTTTAAGTGAGTTAGTTGTTAACTTTACCTCTAAGTGCGTTAGTTGTTAACTTTACCTCTATGTGCGTTAGTTGTTAACTTTACCTCTAAGTGCGTTAGTTGTTAACTTTACCTCTATGTGCGTTAGTTGTTAACTTTACCTCTATGTGCGTTAGTTGTTAACTTTACCTCTATGTGCGTTAGTTGTTAACTTTACCTCTATGTGCGTTAGTTGTTAACTTTACCTCTAAGTGCGTTAGTTGTTAACTTTACCTCTATGTGCGTTAGTTGTTAACTTTACCTCTATGTGCGTTAGTTGTTAACTTTACCTCTATGTGCGTTAGTTGTTAA